CATCAGCTTTCTTCACCACATTTGCTTATGCACCCATTTGCCTTCAGCGATTGTGTCGGGAAGGTGAGCATCATGGAATGCCAGTTTAATAGAACAAAGTGTTCTTGCATTAAGGGAGTACTTAAGTAGACGCCCAATGTCCATCTGCTACCTTAATACTAAACCTATAAATATATGAACATAGATTTATTTCCTCCTCGTTATATATAAATATATTTGCATATGCATGTGCCTGTATTTAGACCTCTATAAATGTCCTTTGCCTCCTAGTTCTTTCCTCTATTTCCTTTTACTTTCCTCTTGTCCCACTATCAGCCTTCATCTACTCAAGTTCTTAAAAAGTCTAGATCTACTGGACTGGTTGAGACTAGAGAATCGCCTTGCAGTACTCTTTAAACCTTAAACTGAAACTATCCCCAAAGGTCACTTTTCAGCTGAAATCGATTGGCTCGTACAATAAAGGATCCTGTCAGTGAGCACTGCATACCTCTAATGAGTGATCCCAGTGAGGCCAAACTGTCAACAACTACCCTCCAGTGAAGATGGAGGGCAGAGGGGCAAGGAAACTAGATCCCTGGAAGTGGACTAGCCAGAGCAATGAGAATCCTGACACATTGTGAAAAATGCAGCCTATGTCACTGACCAATCGGTGTATCCATTGTTAAGCGGGGACCTAATGTGCTGCGTCCACTTTCACCCAAAGCTTAACATTTATTTTGAGTGTCCTGTGAAAGGAAGAAGGGAGACGTGGCATGAGGACCACTTGGACTTTGAAGTAGCTGTATAGAATTAACAATGGATGCACATTTGAATGGGCATAAATGAACAGATAGCATTGATTTCTACAAGTGAATTTAAAAATGGAATAAGAAGAGAATTTCATAGGTGATCTCAAACTAAACACATTACAACAGAGACAGACACATAAATGTGTTGCCATAGATCATCAAAGCCGATGAAAAAGAAAATGGTTTCTCTTCAATTATAGGCTGCGAGGCAGTTTTTATTCTGAAAATCTCCCTTGTGTTCACATAGTTTCAAACTCACCCAGCTCTCTGGGGCAGGTTTACAAGCAATAGCTCTTGTAGGCTTTCATTTCACCGCACTGGAAAATATTTGTGACTGATGTTTGAAAAGCTGTCCCCTAAGGCCAGAGACTGACACTGATTAAATGTTGTCTCCGTTGTTCAAGGCCAGGGCCAGTCAAGCCAGAAGTCCTGTCTATTCCGTGGCCCGGAAAGCGATCAAGCCGCCGAGTCCAGAGACACAACAGCTTCTCTCCCAACAGCCCTCAGTTTAATGTCGGCACTTCGGGTAATGCAGGTGTCCTTGTTTTTCTTCTTCAATGTCAATGTCTACTCCATTTGTATGATTCCCTTGACTTATTGAAATCCAGCAGCAGCAGCAAAACAAAGCACAGCATGGAGAGCACTAAGAGTCATGGAATGCAGTCAATTGTGCTGAGACTGGTGCGGTACAGAGGCTCGGGTATTAATCTAAACACGAGTCCTTTCAGAACGCTTGCCCTTGTGCAGGATGAAAAGGAAGTACCTGAAAGGCAGCCCTTCTTCGGTGGTGAAGAACACAAGGAGAAAAGTAAGCAGGGATTGACTTGTGCTTACCTGCATACTCACTTTCACTATAACGTGAAATTGTTCTCTACAGAGTGGGAACTAAGCACAAGTAAGCCTGTGTTTACCTTTCGTATGGGGTGCTTCCTCGCTGTCAGAGACTGTGCATTTGAAAGGAGGCTTTAGGTCTAGAGGAGGAGGGTGGGCAGTTGCTTGGGGGAGAGACAGAAGCCAGCAATACCTAGAAGTAGAATCTTTGATGTGGTGGGAACCTGTGAAAATTTGCCACTGAAATGCCTGACTAAAGATTAGTAAATACAATCTTTAAATCTGAGAATATGGAAGTCCTAACTCTGCACTGTATTTACACAGACAGAACTTGAAAGATCTCAGAGTGTTTTCTTGAACATGGTCTTATGTTATCGCAACATGTTAACATACATGTTAGTGTCCCACTGAAGGTCAGAGCAGAGATTTGGCCTCACTACCAGGTCATTTTTATTGCGAGACACATAATCTCAGATCTCACAGGCTTACAAAAGCAAGTAGTTTGTCATTCTCGCGGTCTGTGCTGGATGGCGATGGGGTGAGCTCTGCTGGGCTTGACTTCAGGAGGCAGTTGAATGGGCTCAGATTTGCTCCCATGGCGGGATCCCTCCTCCTGGTGGAAGCACAAGCCAAGTCACACAAGTACATCTAAAACCGTGGTGTACAAAGCATCTCCTCTGCTGACTTTTCAAAGGTCGCATGAGTCGCATGACCACCCCCAGTAAGAACTGGAAAATGTACTCTAACCTTTGTAGTAGGAGCTACCTACAGAGTCACGGAGAAAAGGGTGCACACGTTTGTCCTATAACAGGAACAAATTTGAGAATTGAGACCAATAATACACTCTGTCACATGTCGCTTGAAGATGACAACATGAGGGCCCTGGAGCAAAATCTAGAGTGTTCTTTCCACTCGAACCATTACGAAGCGACATTCAATCCAACACTGCTTTCCAAAGACGGTAATGTGACAGCTACCTGAGTCTTTTAAGGAACACTTCAGCATGAAAACGTGTTCACTTATCTGTGAATTTAAAAACTACATATACATTTGTTTATGCAGGTGGTCCTCGACTCACAACAGGGTTGCATTCCGATTTTTCAGTTTTCACTATCATTAACTCTGGTTATCAGTATCTTTTGAAATCCCATCTTTATTTGGCATTGGGGGTAAAGAACGTTACATGTAATATCACCAAATGACACACTGCAATCTCGCATGTAGTTCATCTTCCTAACAATAAGATGTTTTTAAAAAGCCAACAAACACAGTCCTTGGGTGTGGGTTGTGAGAACTCAAAACAACCTAAGTCTGGAACTACCAGGCCTTGGAAGATATTTTCCTCAAACCACCCTGTCTGTTTTTCAATCACTCTTTGGGGCTGTGTACATCATAATTCATCTGGTTGTGCTTGCCCCAAAGAGCAGATGGAGAATTGAATTCTGATGTAAAGCACCACTCCTTGCTATTTAAGTTTTGCCTTTGTTGTACTGGCAGGTGAAGCAAGACTTTGTAGTCTTGAATTCAATTACATTCCTTTATCCAGAAATAATGACTCATATTATTTCAGCAAGTACCCATGAAAGCATTTTGGTCAGCAGCAGTGAGGATACTCAAAGATGCCAGGATGTTGCTGGAGTGCTTAGCCCCAGCTCTTCTGTATGTGCCTTTGCATCATAATATTAATGACAGTGACAGTCATAGCAGCAGAATTTATATAGTGTTTAATAGGCTGCCAGGCACAACTGAAGAGCCCTGGTGGTGTAGTGGTTGCTAACCATTTGGCTGCTAACCCCAGATCAGCAGTTCGAAACCCCACCCTCAGGAGAGTCTGACCCTCCCCTCTAGTATCGCTATGAGGAGAAATTGACTCGGTGGTAGTGAGTTTGTTTCTGTGGGCACAACATTTCTATAGGTAAGATTATGATTTTACTCATGGTGACATTCTCATTTAATTTATATATTTGTTTGATAAATAGATGGGGGGTGTTTTAAAATGTTCATAATCAAACTAGAAATGAGATCATCTCAGGGAGTGACGTAGCAACGAAGAAAAACACAACTTTCCTCTAGTTCCTAAATGCTTCCTCCCCCCCCACTATCATGATCCGAATTCTACCTTGCAAGTCGGGCTAGACCAGAGGATGTACACTGGTACAGATAGGAACTGGAAACACAGGGAATCCAGGGTGGATGATCCCTTCAGGACCAGTGGTGTGAGTGGCAATACTGGGAGGGAGAGGGAAGGTGGGTTGGAAAGGGGGAACTGATTACAAGGATCTACATGTGACCTCCTCCCTGGGGGACGGACAACAGAAAAGTGGGTGAAGGGAGACGTCAGACAGGACAAGATATGAAAAAATAATAACTTATAAATTATCAAAGGTTCATGAGGGAGTGGGGAGTGGGGAGGGAGGGGAAAAATGAGGACCTGATGCCAGGGGCTTAAGTGGAGAGGAAATGTTTTGAGAATGATGAGGGTATTGTATGTACATATGTGCTTTACACAATTGATGTATGTAGGGATTTTGATAAGAGTTGTATGAGCCCCTAATAAAATGATTTTTTTTTAAAGAAATGAGATCAGCAAGTTTTCCATGAACTTTTTGAAGCCCTTTTGTTCAGTGTTATATGCCAGCCAGTTGATTCCAACTGCTAGTACTCATGTCTAAGCGAGAAGAACTGCTCCCTCGGGTTTGCTCAGCTGTAATCGTTCCCGAAACAGAGCTCTTGTCTTTTCTCCCACGGAGCAGCTGCGTGGAGGTCAAACCACCAACTTTTCACTTAGCAACTGAGAACTTAATCCTTGCATCATGGGGGCTCCCTCTATGTAATATACTTTTCATCCTCACACTGATGCTCCGGAGCTGGAGCTGTTATGATTCCCTTTACAAATAAGAACACAGGTCAGAGAAGTCTAGTACTTTGACCAGGACCAGCAGGCCCTAGTCTAGAGCCACCAGCTTTCGTAACAGCCAGCCATAACCATGACGTCTCTGTGAACTCAGGCGAATCCTTAAGAAGTGAGACACCAGCTCTCTTCCCCCGGGCCTCTTTTTGACTGTACCACTTTATACTTGACTCTGAGCAGAGCTGCAATCTCACAGGCTCCTGCCACTGCACAGGAAGTAAATGTTGCATTATTGATTGAAGCGCTCCTTTTTCAAACGAAAAATCAACCACCTCAAGGGTTGTGAAAATGGCTCAGCAGGATGGGTTCTTCTGAATATCAAAGGCTAGGACTGACAGCAGCATATAACACGGGCTGGTGAAAATGAACCTGCTGGGATATATGGGTCTATGGAAACCAATACTCAGAAATGTATTCGTGTGAAGGCATTTTTATTTAAATATGTTGACTAGACAGTGACACTGTTTTTCCTTGGGGGGTAGAAGGAAATGTTCCCCTCTGAGATAACCGAGCGTGTCTGCTGTACCGTGAGGTAACACATTCCCCCATGATTTCTCTCCCACAAGGTATCTTAGAAGAAGACAGCCCGTGGATGACCCAGATAAATAGACTGCAGAAATTAATTGATAGACTGGAAAAGAAGGTGCGTGCTTCCTTTTCATAGCAATTTTTTAAAGAGTTTCTGGCCCTCTATTTCTCTTTGTCCCAATATCCATGGCTGTTCGTGGACATAGTGCCGGCTCAGCAGGGATTGATAACGAAAGCTTTGAAAAGATGGGACATGGAAATTCCCAGGACCACTGGATTGGGATAGTGGACAAAGAACAGGGGAAACCAGAAAGGAGTCTAATGCTTTGAGCTTGGAGGGGAGACTGACCCTCCTGACAGAAAAGGGAGAGACAAGTGAGAGATCATTTTTGAAGAGAGGTGAGAAAATGAACTGGTGTTTTAGATGTCTCAGTCAGTTTCAAAGTGAAATAGGACCAGAAATATCCAATCAGATGTTACTAGGAGAGATGCCGGACCAACCAATTAAGGTCTTGCTCCACAAAGGGGAAACCTTAAACCCTGAGCATGGGTAAGGTGTCTGAGAAGGAGCGTCTCTAGAGACAAGAGCCAAGTTCACAGGAGGCAACCCGTGGTGAGCTCCAGGTCCCCTCCAGTCTCCATTCCCAAAAGTTATGTCGGCCACAATCTGAGAGCTCAGCTCGCTGGAAATCATCTGTCCTCCTTTCTTAGTTTATTCACTGGCCTGTAAGCTGACACCAGTAAACGTGTGACAACGGGAATTACATTTTCAGTCTTGGAAGACCTTGAAATCCAAATCTATTTGAAAGCTGGCCTTTGTTAAAACCCAGAAATTCCATCATTAAATAAATATGGATTCAACTGCTTTCAAACGTGGTTTTGATGCTCTTTGCAGACATATCTTTATTTGGTGCCTTAAATGTATGTCGTTATTTTTAAAAGAATGGGTCAAAGCTTTTTTCCAACTTAACATCAAGTAACACATCATGGTGTCTCTTTTCTTTCCTCGACTCCCTTCCTATGAAGGGGCTTCCTTTGAGGACAACTTCTCAGAGATTTGCTGAAAGTACATTGTGATGGTTTTCAGCGCAGGCTCCAGCTGTGTGGGGCTCAGCATGGTTGGGCTAAATGAATAGGAAAGAGTGCAAGTACCATTTTCTTTGACAACTTATTCGGTACTGGGCTGAATTGGTGTTCCAGAGGAAAAACTACCCAATTACCAGACAGTGCATGCACCTCACTGCTGACTACCTGGTCTCCTACAGTGCTTAGCCTTGGAGTTGTTCTCTCCACTCAGTATTTATGGCTGTCCTGAAAACCAAAGCCCTGTACCACCCCTGAGGGGGTGACCTTTGCAATTTCTACAACTTTCTTTAGGCATTTCTTCTTTTCCTCTTTAGCTGGGGTTCTAGATCAAACTTTCCTTGAACTCCGCAGAAAAGACTTTAATGCTTAAAACAAAACTAATACCAACAGTATCAAAAACCTCTTCTTTTTTCACGCCACCCACGGTGTGTCATCAGGTTCCTCCAAAGGATGCATTTAAGGATGTCGCGTGTACACCGTTTATTTTATTTTTGTTTCACCTTCGATCAGAAGCAATAGGCCTAAAAGTGTACCTGCGTTGGTGTCAAAGAAGGGGCAGTCAAGCATATTCTGTTGTTGCAGTTTGATCTCTAGAGTGCTTTTTAACGCAGTTCATCTCTATATCATATACCTCCATAGAAAACGTATCGTTGACATGGAACATTCATTCACTCACCTATTTATTCTACTAGCGTTTCGTGAGCACCTACTGCATTCCAGGTACTAGTCTGGCAGGTGGTATTCACAATGAGAATACAGTAGTTGGTTTCTGGGAAGACAGACAAAATAACGTTTTTAATCCATTAAGAGAAGGTGACTTCATAGTGAAAACTGTTGTGAAGAACAAGTAGAGTTACATCATAGAGACGGGGGTGTGGAGAGTAGGTCATTGCTCTGGAAAGATCTCTTTAGAATGGTTCTATAAGGCAGTGATCTTTGAGCTGATGTGTGCAAGACTGAAAGGCACCAGCAATAGGGAGCTTACAGCAGTGAGAACAGTAAATCGAGTCCAGAGTCGTTCAATAACTTGCCTCAAGGTCCACCCCAGGAGAGCAGCACAGTAGAGCTACGTCTAGCTGCTATTCGCAGCTAGAAGTTATTTCAGAATGTCTGGATTTCTCCAACTTTCAATTTATTTCTTACGTACTGGCAGGAAGTGTGGTGCACAATCCTCAGATAGCAGAAGCGCTAGGAGTCCTCGGAGATGGCACATTGCCTTCACTGGGGGCATTAGAATGCTCTGTTGCTCTTCGCCGAAGGCTTTAGGATCTATTTTTGAGTTTTTCCTATTTCGTGAATATAGCGAATGGTGCTTTCATGAACTCTCTGCTTCATTTTCTTTTTGCAGCCCATCATAGCCCTAGTACCTAGCGCGACCACAATCTCCCCAAACATGGAGAATTGCTGCAGTAGTCACGGTAAAAGAAAGCAGCCAATGGGTCTACTTGTTCTTTCTCACTTTCATGCCAACCTCCCTGTCTTCTCCGTCACAGGAGTACTGGTGGCTTGGTGGTTAGGGAGCCCGAACTCACCAGTCGCTCTGGAGAAGAGAGCTGAGCTTGTCTGCTCCCCTAAGTTACAGACAGCCTGAGAAACCTGCAGGGGCAGTTCTACCCTGTCCTAGAGGGTTGCTGAGTCAGAATCAACTCAACGGCAGTGAGTTTAGTTGGTTTTTGGATCCTTCCCCTCTCTGTTTTAATATGAGTCTCTTATCTCTCTGCTCTTCCTGCTTTTAATAGCACCGATGAAGTAAATGTAATGCAATAACAAAGAAAACATATATGAACTGGCTCATTGCAACTGATCAGTGGGCACAAAGAATCTTCCAGGATAAGGACAGTGCAGGGGCAAGAGGTGGGGAATCTGATGATTGTACCTTCTTTTGAATCATGAGGATTTTTTGGTTCAGAATTAGTCTTAAAAGAGGTAGCACTCAAATCCACAGTGTTGCTTTTGTTTTGCTCATTTCTGGACCCCCTTCCCATTTCTTCTAAACTAAGGATCTCAGACTGGAGCCACTGGAAGAAGAAGTTATTGAAGGAAACACGAAATCTGTAAGTACTTTTTCACGATGAAAATTTTCAAAAGACACTTTCAATGCCTGGTTTCAGTTCTTCACACTAATTACTATTGAAATTCAAAATAGAAAAAAATGAGCAAGACATAGACAGGATTCATGTGTGCATGGCTAGGTAGTGTTTTTCGTCCGTTTGGAAAGTTGACGGACATCCACAACGAGACCTGGCATCAATCAACATTTCACGTTGTTTGAAATGAGTAAACCACACCACTGTACACGAGAGTTTTTCCCCACAGCGCTGTCCTTGTACGCTGTGATCAACATCACACAGTTTCTGCCGCATTTTTACCAAGCAGGAAACAAGATGTCACAGCCACACACTGTTCTCTTAAATCTGCCATCACAAAACACGAGATTCAAGTGAAACTGCTTTTATGAAAAAAGTCACTGTGACAAGAGAGACCCTTCCCAGGCGATGCCACTGGGTGCACTAACTCAGAGCAAGTTGCTCATCTGCTCCGTGCAGCACAATTCCAGTTTTTAAGGGCTACCCCCTTAAAAGACTCAGAAAAAAGTCTTTAAAGACTTTGTGCTTTAAAGACTCAGAAAAAAGTCTCCAAATTTTTCTCAAACTATAGCATCTAACCTGAGGTATAACTTTCTGTGAATGTAGCAGTTGTGCAAGGAGTTTTTTGTTTTAAACAATGTGAAAATTTGAAAGTTAAAAATGCTGAAGGGAGAAAAAATAGTACGGGGGGGGGAAAGAGAAAAGTTGCCGCGTGCATAAATGAATAAATTTTACAATCATTACATGATGACTGGCAGAGAAGGGCAACGTTCAAAACATAATATAGACACATTTGTAGCCCCTTTCAGCCGAGGGTTACATCAGAGATAAGACCATGCCCTATTCATTATTGTGGTCCTAGCATGTAGCCCAGAGCAAAGCACATGGTACATGCCCAAGTCCCCCTGCCCCACCCCACCCCACCTCCGCTTTTTTTTTTTTTCAAGGAATAAATTGATGCCTGGAGAAGAGAGAACATTTATATTCCTGGGGGAAGAAGTTCACCCAGAGTGGTGCTGCTGTCGAGATTGAAAGGCAGATGGACAGAGTGGTCCTAATAGGAGCATTAAGATGCAGCAGAATGAACTTAGTGGTGAGGGAAACAAGACTACTGGAAAAATACTACATGCTTTATTATCTTACCTTCTTTTGAAGAAAAAAAATATATATACATATATACACACACACACATATATAGTGTTTTCTGTTTAGGGAAATTGAATGTTTGCAATTATGTTGAGTGTGAATTTACATGAAAAAAAAACTTAATCATTGACAGAAACTCACTTTTTGAAATATACCTTAAATGAATCACATATTTGTTTTATAGGTTGTGGGATATTAGTCACATTGACATGAAGCAAAATTAGGAAGTACCTTTCGTTTCTGTGTTGAGTATTTATTCCATAGACACTGACTACATGAGAGGGAGACCTACCCTTTGTGTCAGGACCCTGCCCACCCATCCAACCTCTTAGCACAAAGGAGTCTTAAGAGAAGAAATGTTGAGGGATGCTTCAAAAAGCTTAGTCAGGGCTGTTCGGATTAGAATTTTGTATAAATGAATAGCTTCTCTTGAAGAAAGCCATATTTTCTCTACATGTTCAGTGCTTTTATTTCTTTTTAAAAATGGGGCTATGATCTGTGTTAAATCCTCAGAATCCCAGAGCATTAGAGTGATGGATTTGGGTGGGAAGGTGCGGGGGGGCGGGGTGGCAGTTGTGCAGCACATGTCCTGCCGTCTTGTACCGTGTCATCTCCTAAATGTGTACGAATGGGAAGATTGCACAATGACCCTAACTTCTCTAATACTGTGAAAGCCTGTTGTCTGTCCTTAAATAATTTCCTAGTGTGAGATGATTATCCTCCCCTAGCTATGAGTGAGAAAAACCATCCAAGGATTACTTATGAAAGCTGACAGCGGTTTCCATGTTCTGGTTCCTGAGAAGGAAGAGTGACCAATGTCCATGTGAATAGATCAACACATGCAAATTACTGATTCAGTGACATGTTGAAGTGCTTTGCTAGGAGCGGGTAAGCTGCTGAAGTGCTCAGTGTCATTTTAAAGCACAAAAAATAAAATTATAGTCCTTAAGTGTCTCCAACTATGAGTGAAAGTAAAATAACAATGTTTCCTTGGAATCAGCATATAGTAGCAATTTGGACTCTTGTGTTGGTAGATATACTAATAAAAATTTTAATACAATTGAAAGTTATATTTTTTCCCACTAGTAGCAATACATACATGCCTGTAAAATTTAATGTCTCAGGGTTGAGTTCTCTGGAGAAATTTACACACACACACATACACACACACACACACATCGAGGTTTCTTTGAAGGCAGTAGCTCACACAGGTGTGGGAGCCCTGGCAGTACAGTGGTTACACATTGGACTGTGAACCACCAGGTTCAAAACCAGCAGCAGCTCCTCGGGAGAAAGACTGGGCGTTGTACCCCATGAACAGTTCCAGCCTCGGCAACCCACAGGAGGCGGCTATGAGTCAGTGTCAACTCAAGGACAGTGCTTTTGGTTTGGGTTTGGTTCACCCAGTTGTACAGGTGGATGCATTCCAGGTCTGTGGGTCAAATGTCAGACTAAAGTTAATCTCTTGATTAACATAACTGCTGGGGCTGCTAAACCCAAGATGGGCAGGTCAGACATCAGGCTTCTGGCTACCGAGGCAGATGGATCCAAGGTCGGCTCTTCAGCAGGTCAGATGGCAGGCTGCTGTTGATCGACGAGCAGTGCAGAAGGCAATACAGCTGGAGGCCAGCTGGAGGATCCAGATCCTGCAAAAATCAAGCAAGTTCTTCCAGGGCATCACCCACTTATACTGAAAGTGAGCCATACCTCTGAGGAACACCCATCACGAGATATTCCTGTGTCTTCACATGAGACCCAGTCAACCCTGGGCACCCTAGCCCACCCAAGTTGACGCAAAACCCTCCTATCACAGCCCCAACATTCAGAATGACCAGAACATTGTTCTGTTGCTATTTCATAGTTGACACCCATGTAAGCTAGCTCCTGAAAAACGTCCCACCGAAATTTACTACTTTAAAATTCCGGGATCCTGATGAGTTAGCACAAACCACTTCCCTGACATGGGCGGAGTAGCAGGTGGTCAGTGGTTTACCTGGGAGACCAAAACCAGTTTCAGAATTCATTGATGGGAGAACTGTTTTCCCTTTCTCAGTTCCATTAGTGGATGCTCAGTACATCTGAAAGCAGAGAATACATGTTTCTTTTCTTTTGTTTGTTAAAAGCTGTTATTTCCTGAGCATGGAGTGTGGACTAAGCACACACAGTCAAGCTCATTTGATCCTCACAGTAGCCCCCGAGCTGGTGCAATCACCAGCTCCCTCTGGCAGATGAAGACATTAAAGCACAGAAGCTGGAAGCTTGATGCCAGACTCACACTCCTCACCGTGCTGCGGTATTTCCAACCCAAGTGTTGGCTGGCTTCAGTGGACACTAAAGTATGAGCTTTTCCTTGCCGGTGAGCTTGACTGTGGGCGAAAAGATTATTCCCTTCATCTGGTTTCTTATCATCGGAACAGAGCAGGTTGCCTGGGAGGCTTATTTAAGCACAGCAAAAGTCCTGAACCTGTCAGCTGCCATCTCTAGATTTTTCTGGGCCATGGCACCCTTACATAATGAGGAGTCTCAAATGTGGTTTCTTTTTTAAATATACTTTCCCCTAGACTCGAGTAAAAGAAGTAATTTTAATTGAATACCTGTCATGAAGCAAGACCTTTACATACATTTTTCCATTTATCCCCTCTAACTCTACTATATAAATCCCACGACTCCCTCTAACTCTACCATATAAATCCCACTACTCCAATTTTATGTATCTATAGCCTTGAAATGACACCAATTAAGGTACCTGTTTAAGACCATAAATCTAGTAAAAAAGGAAAGAAAAGACAGGACAGGATGAAGGAGTTAAAATAAAGAACCTCTAGCAATTGTGTAGCACCTAAAATTTGCAGAGCTATCTCAAATCCTTCCCTGGAATAAGTAGCGTATACATAACTTTTACTAAACAACATTAACATATAGCCAGTGACTAAAATCAGACCCGTTTTCCATTTGTTTGTTTTATGATAACTCTTGATCACCTACTGTGGGCCACAACCTGAAAGAGGAGATGGAGATAAAATGGCGAGGATGACGGCTCGGAGAAAATACAGGCAATTAAACAAGGGTCTAGAAGGGTCATGTGATGAGGGTGAAAATACAGGTGAGGACATAGAACCTAATTTAGGGAACCCAGGAAGACTGCCAGGTGTGTTGGTGGTTTAGTGGTTATGTATTGGGCTCTGATCTGCATGGTCGGCAGTCTGAAACCACCAGCAGTTCCTTGGGAGAAAGACTGGGCAGTCTACCCCGGTGCACAGCTACAGGCTTGGAAATGCGCAGTGGGTCTCTGTGAGTCAGCACTGACTCCACGGCAGTGACTTTGTTTGGTTTTTTTGGAGGAAGACTTCCAGGAGGCTCAAGTCTTTCAACTGAAGCCAGAGAGAATAGGTAGGATTTTTTTCAAATACTATTTGTCTATATTTTAATATGTTGAATTGTTCTAACTCGGGTTACAATAATTATTACAACAGTGCTACAAAGAGGGGGCTACACAGGATTAAGAAATACTCCATATGAGCTGATACCAAGGGCTCAAGTAGAAAGAAAATGTTTTGTGCTCACTTCGGCAGCACATATACTAAAATTGGGATGATACAAAGAAGATTAGCATGGCCCCTGCACAAGGGAAGAAAATGTTTTGAGAATGATGATGGCAACAAATGTACAAATGTGCTTGACACAATGGATTGTGATGAGTTGTATGAGCCCCCAATAAAGTGATTTTTAAAAAAGAAAGAAAGAAAGAAACTGTTTCAAATGATTTATAACAAGGAATTATGAAGATTTAGCAGCCTGAGGCCTTCATCATTTCATCTTGCCTTAAATGGAAGATGAGCATAACAAGCCGAGATCAGCCCAGATGTCAAGTCCAGACATGGACATGTCAGTATTGGAGGGATGACTGGTTACCTGCCAGCTGTCAAGTACTAAATATGAAATATAAAGATCAGTCTGATTTTTTAAAGGCATTGGTCCAACAAGATTACACATATGAGGTGGTACCCCCCCAAAAATAGATGTGATATGAGGGAGATAGTGCATTTGGAGTTTGCTCCACCTGTCAGACTGTTAATCAAACTTCCTCTTTAGAGGTTCTGAAAAGATTGTGTGACAGTGTGTGACAAAAAGGCCTAATCTGTGGCAGATGAGGGACTGGGTTTGCAACAGTGCACCCGCTCACACCACCATCTCAGTGAGCCAGTTTGGGGCAAAAAACAGCATGCCTTGCCCCATGCACCTTATTCATCTGACCTCACTCAGCAACCTTTTTTTTTTTTTCTGCAAATGAAGAAGGACATGAAAGGACAGCAATTTGACAACATAGAAGAGGTGAAGGAAAAAATGTGGGAGGTACTGTTAGCCATCCAAACAGATGGGTCTGAAAAATGATTCCAAAAATGGAATCGCAGATTTGACTAATGTATTAGGTGTAATGGAGAGTACTCTGAAGGTGATAGGTTGTTTTGGGGGGAAAATTTAAATGTATAACTTTGGGGGGAAATTTCTGGGGTTTTGGGAGCACCCCCTCATATACCTGGTCTGCTATGTTGACCCACCTGAATCATTTTTACTTAGGACCATTGTAAGCCTCTGCCTCACTGGTTCTCACAAGACAACTGGGAAAAGATGAGTTTCCCAGATATGTTCTCCGTTCAGAAGGAGCTCTTGTTGTTTATTTGTGTATAAGTCAAGATCATTTTCAACAAGGTTTGAGCAGAGTTGCCGACTTTTCAAGAAATTCAGAACTTTTCTTTAGCACATTGTTTTGCATGTACTTAAAGTGCATATTAGAATCTGCATGTGTAATATATTCACTGCCTCTCTACTCTCACCAAACCTATAAATTACATTTTATAAGGCCAATAAATTCTTCCATACAATCTTAAGTGTTTGTGCAACGGAGAGGACCAGTTGCCAACTAGTCTATCAGGGACTAGCAAAACATAATGCTACTTGACAGTTGTTATACAGAAATTCAAGGAGAGCACCTCAGGAAGACTTATATCTCTGAAATGTGTTGAAACACAATTATCAATGTAGTAAATAGAGCCAAATAACACTCAGAAATATGTTGCATTTAAAATATATCTGTGGAATTAAAATAAGCCAACTGTACATAAGAAATGTGCCCAAGCAGATGGCACCCTAACCTAATCTAAGTGGGAAAATACTACTCGATAGACATGGATTGGTTCTCCATACTCACACAGCATTCTCAACCCAATACATTAAAATAGCATACTATAATTCCATTAAAACAAAATTTTCATAAAGTAATAAGGGCTACACTAGCCCTGCCACACCAGAGACACAGAAGCACAGCACTCTATAGCCTTCTACCGTGAGGAAACACTCAGGCTGGCTAGTCACATTCCAAGCTGTATGTAGAAATGCCTTCAAAATGATAGGGCGGCTTCCCCTCTCCTCAGTACATCAAACTCATAACTTGTTTTCATCTGGACAGCCTAGAAAACAGAAGAGTTTTCTTTGCATCTCAAAAACTCTGCCTTAAATATCCATGATTCTGGATGCTCCACCTGTCAGCGGAGCCAGCCACTCGAAGCTGACGATCTGGCGCTTGTGAACTGATAGCTTCGTGTAATGTCTGAGCAGAAGAGGGAAAGACACTCTTAGTCTGGATTGCCAAGTAAAATCTTGGAACCAAGAGTTTTTAATTTTTCCAAGTCATATTTACATTCATCCATGTGTGGATGAATCCGTTAGTTATCGTTGCATAACAAACCTAAAGTTCCATCATCTAAAACAATAGCCATGATTCTGCGGGTAGACAATTCTGATTGGGATCAATGGAGTGATTCTTCTGCTCTTGGCTGTCCTCCCTTACGGCATCTCTCGTTGGCCGCGTGCCAGCCTTGCCGATCTTGACTGGACGTTCCCTCATGTACGGGGACTCCACTGGGATGAATCTACTGACTTGGTTCTGCAAGAGGTGGGCTTTCATCGTCTAGCACAAAGGAGGAAAAACTACAGCCCACTGTTCAAATTTGTCTATAAAGGTCCTTTTTATATGCAGCCACAACCCATTTGTTGATATGTTGTCTACAGCAGCTTTCACACCAAAACCCAAACCAAGCAAAACAAGCTCATTGTCTTCAAGTGGATGCCAACTGACACTGACCCTGTAGGACAGGGCAGAGCTGCCTGATAAGTTTCCGACACTGTAACGGTCTACTCGAGTAGAAAGTCCCGTTTGATCTACTGGATCATATAAGAACAACCTTCAGATAAAAAGACTTACTGTGGAGTAATGATAAAAAGTTTCCATTGGGTCAGTTTTGATGCATGGCCCCATGTGTGTCAGCATAGAGTAGAATTGTGCTCCATAGGATTTTTTTTTTTAGTTTCTCACACAGAATGCTATTTATTTGTTAACTCATGTTACAAGAAAAACATACATTTTCCTCATTTTTGCTAAAATGTTCTTTGTTGAATAAATCTGTTGTCTCAATCAAGAGTCAAACTGACAGTATTACTTCTTCCTCATGAACAAAAAGTCCTGAATTACTAATCGAAAGAACAGCAATAACCAAATGCCATGATCAGGGGGGCTTATCTGCACAATAACTGAGCTAAACAAAGCTAACCCGTAAGCTGTTCTTACAAATTGATTGGGATTTGAATACTAATAGTTCTAAGACAAGATAACATTTGTATACCAAGGGGTACACACACACACACACACACACACACACACACACACACACACACACAGAAAAAAGCTCTGCTGGGCAAAGCTTTTGTAGTATGCATTTCACCCCCTAGGCAAGCATGGAGCAACTCGCTCGGAATCAGTGCACCCAGTGCCGTCAACTGGGAAGATTCTTTCCATTAACAGAGAATGTTTTCATAAAAGCAGTGTGTGTGTGTGTGTGTGTGTGTGTGTGTGATCGACAGGGAAGATCATCAGTTTTACATTCAACAGTTCATACGCATTTTGCTTCAACATATTTGACTGTAATTTCCTCAGTGCAGCATCACTCATCCCTCTTCCTCCCTGTTTCCTGTTTCCATCCCTCCCTCCTTCCTAACCCTCTGAAGGGTTATAAAGAGCCACGACCTCAGAAGTTCTGTTTAGGCTGCTACGATTCAGAATAGATTCAATGGCAAATTCAGTGGATTTGGTTCCCTACCACCCCCTACCCCCACGCATCAGAAAAGTTCTGTTGACGTAGTTGGTTACTTATTGAACTGCTAGCTGCAAGGCCATTGGTTTGAACCCAGTGGATCCTCAGAAGAAAGATGAGCCTGTCTATCTTCTCTAAGAAAGACTTCAAGTCTCTGAAATGGAATTGCACCAAAAAGGTGCAATTCTCTTTGCCCTATAGGGCCTTTTTGACCTCTTCCAATTGACTAAGTGGCAATAGGTTTGGATTTGGGTTCCATATATAGAATGCACACCAACTCCTTCACAAAAGAAACTATCGGAAATCTCCTCCAGGTGGTTAAAGTCTAGTGTATGCACAATTCTTTAATCAAGGTCAAGATAGAGTTTGTTGAGGTATGGCAAATTTATGAACAAAAAATTATCTGCCCCATCCCACTATGCACACACTCACACCCTAAGTGTGCAATGATAAAACTGGGTTGGGATGGCTGCCTTGAAAACTGTCATTCACAAATGGGTGCATAAGCAAATGCGGCGAAGAAAGCTGATGGTGCCCGGCTATCAAAAGATATAGTGTGTGGGGCCTTAAAGGCTTGAAGGTAAACAAGAGGCCATCTAGCTCAGAAGCAACAAAGCCCACATGGAAGAAACATACCAGTCTGTGTGATCACAAGGTGTTGAAGGGATCAGGTATCAGGTATCACCAAAACAAGCAATCATATCATTGTGAAGGAGGGGTGGGGGGAGTGCAGAGTGGAGACCCAAAACTCATTTGTAGGCCACTGGACATCCCCTTACAGAAGGATCTCGGGGAGGAGACGAGCTAGTCAGGGTGCAATGTAGCAACAATGAAACATACAACTTTCCTTTAGTTCCTAAATACTTCCTCCTTCCCCACTATCATGATCCCAATTCTAGCTTACAAATCTGGCTAGACCAGAAGATGTACACTGATACAGATAGGAACTGGAAACACAGGGAATCCAGGGTGGATGATCCCTTCAGGACCAATGATGTGAGTGGTGATACTTGGAGGGTTGGAAAGGGGGAACCGATTCCAAGGATCTACATGTGACCTCCTCCCTGGGGAACAGACAACAGAAAAGAGGGTGAAGGGAGATGTCAGACTGGGCAAGATATGACAAAATAATAATTTATAAATTATCAAGGGCTCATGAGGGGGGGGAAGCGGGGAGGGAGGGGAAAAATGAGGACCTAATGCCGGGGGCTTAAGTGGAGAGGAAATGTTTTGAGAATGATGAGGGCAATGAATGTACAAATGCAATTTACACAATTGATATATGTATGGATTGTGATAGAGTTGTATGAGCCCCTAATGAAACAATTAAATTTTTTAAAAAGAAGAAGAAAACTGTCATTCAGAGAAGGAACTAATGGGAAATATTCGGCTTTCACTGGTCCATTGCAATGATGAATTGATGCTGATAAATCATTTCTTCAAAACAGGAAATTCCTTGATTTCTGCTATCCACTGTTCCTTTGAAAGGTTCTTCTTGGTGCGTTACCCTGTAAACGACATCTGAAATGGCCTATTGGGGAATAATGCACTCCCAGGAGACTACAGTCTGCATTGCTTCCTGCTCAGTCGTTTGGATTGCTAAATAGTATATTAAGACTTAGACAATCAAAGGAGTTTAAGACCGGGCTCAAGATGTCTCTGGCAACACAATTCTCTATAATATTTAATAGAATTGTGATCAGTTTACATATAGTTCATTTCAAATGCCAGTAATCATGCCTCAAATTATGTCCTAGACATAGTTCTCAAAGTTTGATTTATTTCCTTACTAAAAACTATGAGCACACGAAGTCTGTTCTGATGCATTATTATAAACCCAGAATTTGTTGTTAGGTGCTTTCCAGTGGGCTCTTGCTCACAGTGACCATATGCAAAACAGAATGAAACACTGCGCAGTCCTGTGCCATCCTCACAATTATTCTTTTGCGTGAGCCCATGATTGCAGCCACTGTGTCTACCTTGTTGCCATCTAAAAAGAGGTTCTTCCTGCCTTTCACTGCCCTCTACTTTACCAAACATAATGTCCTTTTCCAGCGATTGGTCTCTACTGATAGCATGTCCAAAGTGCATGAGACGAAGTCTCACCATCCTTGCTTCTAAGGATGCTTTGATCGATTACTATATAGGCATAACCCTAGCTCCTAGTATTTAGCTGGTCCAAAACAGGAATGTTTGTTAAATATAAAATGCCTAAAGTAGTGCCTACAAAATAATTGGTATTCAACCAATAGTAGTTAAACACATGAAGTGAGAAATTCATTGGAATTATATCCAACAAACAAAAATTTTCATGTATATCTAGTTCTACCAGTACTGATCTCGGAAATAGCATCCAAGTTGTATTTCTCATATTCTAAATGGTACTCAATTTGTTTTTCTGAACATTTATGGTTCAGTCCCAATTCTTGAAGAGAATATGTCATATATTAAGATAGCAAATCCATGAAAAGCTTACAGGTAACTCTTTATGAAAGTCTTCAGACTACAACATCAAACTGTATGGGCAATAGGATTTGTTACAGGAAGCAGTTGGCATCCAACCTGATGTGATCCATTCAATGCAGGCTCTGGTTTTGAACATGACATATTGTAAATAATGGTTTCTGTAATTTGGGAAATTCATTGATGAACACACGCATTTGGGAAACCCCATGTGTGTGATGAGTCTTATGTACTTGTAGACAAAGTATTCAACGAAGTGTTTTGGAGATCACAAAATGTTCCAGAGTTGGACCTGGCACCCAGCAGAGTGGAGCTATCAGCTCCCCTTTAAAATGTGGTACATGGCTTCAAGGCCTGGATTGCCATACTGCCTGCCCATTATTATCACTTAGGGAGGTTTGCAAAAACAGCAGTGCCTAAGCCCTACTGCTGGAAATTCTAATATGAAAAAAAAATTTTTTTTTAAGATCTTGTAATTCTAAAACCTTCCTGATAATTCTGATAAAGAATCACACCTTCAAAGAGGAAACCTCACTGCAAACAAACAAACACCTTCCTTTAGCTATTGTTACTAGAGGCAAGACAAATACCCTGCCTATATTACTGCTCAATTCCATTTTATTACTTAGATTATCCATGGCCATAATCTTGTTATATTTTCCCGTGAAAATCATGTGCTTATATGGAAGGAGGACTGGGTGGTGGAGGCTCTGGCCAATGCCGGGCTCCATTGACCACCAGCACACTAACCCTGGCCCCTTCCTCAGCAGCACATCATGCTTGTGCAGCGTCAGATGTCGGTGATAGAAGAGGACTTGGAGGAATTCCAACTTGCTCTGAAACACTACGTGGAGAGTGCTTCCTCCCAAAGTGGATGTTTGCGGTAAGTGCCCCTGTGCACGCTTCTCTGATGGGATGGGGAAAGGGTGAAGGCATTTCTTCCCATCTTAGATGAGGGTGGGGTGCTGAAAGACTGGCATTTGAGATGCTAATGTTAAATTATTCTGATCAGTCTCTTCCTCTGTTCAATTGGATGTTTTCCCTTTGGCCCTTAGATGCTTGTCAATGTCATCACTAGGGACACTGAGGGACATAGAATGGAGAGAATGATTTGAATGAGAGGAAGGAGTTTCTGCTAGATTGGAATTCCCTCTGTGACATCCACAGACTGATTTAAAATCATCGCTGGTAGATGGGGCCCTGACACCGGTGCATCTCACACTGATTGCTCCCTTGGCTGGCTGCCCTGTGGCATCATTACCATCTCAACCATCGTGGACTTGCGCAGATCTCTGAAATCCAGATTTCTGAGCTTGAACGTGGGAGAAAAATCAGCAGCTCTTTCCTTTCCTCTTCCCATAGCCACTCAAACTCAGCTCGTTATTTCAGACAACAAAAACATACCATTCCTCATCTTATGTTCCTTCCCTCCAAGTCTGCTGATAAACAACGGTTAGGAAAAAATTTCCAGAAGTACATGTCCAAAAAGAACCTTAGTTAGAAACCCACTATAACTCTCTAACAGGTTTCTTACCAAGGGCTAAGAGCAAAAGCAGTGACAGGCTCAACACCTAGCCAAAAGGCTGTTTGGCTCTAACTCACCCAGAGTCCTTGGAAGACGGCTCTGGAGATCTGCTTCTGAAAGGTCACGGTTTGGAAAGCCAACAGGCACACACATGCGATCACCATGCCTCATGCACGACTCAATGGCAAGCTAATAACAACCACATTTTCCTATCAACCGCAGGAATCCAAATCAGATCCCAGGAATCCTTATCATGTTGGTGTTCATTCTCCATCACTGGAGCACTCTGCAGTCCCATCGGTTACTCCCCACCATTGTGCATTTATTACTGTGGCTGTTGTTAGGTACCATGGAGTCCGTTCCAGCTCATAGTGACTGTGTGTGAGTGGAACGAAGCACTGCCTGGCCCTGTGCCATCCTCCCCGATGTGCTGCGTGGGAGCCCACAGCTGCAGTCACGGTGTCAATCCATCTCATGGAGGGGCTTCCTCTTTTTGCTGCCTCTTTACCAAATGTACTAATCCGATAGAGGGGCAGCAAAAAGAGGAAGATGTGTTTGGATTGGGGTACTGAAGGAGCATATTGAAAGATCCGTGGACTGCTAAAAGGCAAACAACTATGTCCTGGAAGAATATGGCCAAAGTGCTCCTTCGAAGCAAGGCAGGCTGAACTTCGCTTCATGTACTTTGGGCATGTTGTTCGGCGAGACCAGTCCCTGGAACAGGGCATCACCTATGGTAAAGCAGAGGGTCAGCAAAGGAAGGGAAGGCCCTCAAGGCGATGGACTGACACCATGGCTGGAACCATGGTCTCAAGCACAAGCACAATTGAGAAGATGGTGAAGGATGAGGCAGTGTGTCTTTCTGTTGTGCTTAAGGTCGCTCCTGGTCAGCACCGACTGAATGGCACCTTCCGACAACAATACCTACTTTACCAAACATGCTCATTTCCCAGCATGATCTGTTTGTTCTTACCCGGGTCCATTAGACCTGGACATTCTTCCTCCCAGAAATGCATGCTCAGCTTCTGATCACTTCCACTCATGTCCTGCCCCAAGTCCAAAGTACAGCTTCCCACTTACCTGCTTCTGCAAAACTCCACAAGCAACTCTCCACCCAAACTGTGTGCTGGTTTAAGTTGCATTTTAGAATACTACCCAAATATTGTTTTATAGGGGTGCATGTGTGTGTGTGTTTATAAACACATACTTTACATCTCTAATTACTTTGGTATTCTTCCCAGTAATTAATTTCAGCTTATTTCTACTTCAGCAGAATACCTCCTCAGCTGAAAAATCTAGAATTAATCATGGGATTTTACTAATGAAGGAAAAGCCTTGGGATAAAGATTATACAGCGTCTGAAAACACAGGGTCACTATGTGTTGCAAGGTCAGCAGTCTGCAACCATCAGGTGCTCTGCATTAGAGTGATGGGGTTTTCTACTCCCAGAAGGAGTCGGTCTTGGAGGACCATGAGCTAGGCACTCAGAAGGCGGAAGAGGACATGGCACAATTGCTGTCAGGGTTAACCAACCCCTAACACATCATCACGGGTCCGGTAAACCCGTGTACAGTGATAATAAATGAAGATTATAGTAAAGTCATAGAGAGCATGAGAGATAGAAGAAAGATTGAAATAATGGAGTCAGACACATTTCACGATAGCATGCTCACCTCAGCCTCACTTGGTGGTCCACGTGGAGAGGGATATTTATTGCTAACCAAGGTTTTTATATTCTCTGGGGATGTGCAAGCTCCCTAATTACAGGTGAGGACATACATCACAGGAAAGGGTTGTGCTATAGGTAATACAGTAATGGGAGGGGGACAACCTAGGGGTATCCATGTAATAGGAAGAGGAGGGATTGGGGGTATACATGTGACAAGATGGTCGGATCCTAGATTCAGGATGGCAGCCTAACCGTGGATGTCACTGTGCCAGTTTGACCTATTCTCTGGATCTCCATAGAAACCATTATCAGTAGGATGTAAACCCATCCACAGGGACCAGACTAATGGCCACAAGCCTTTAGGGAGAAGTAGCCTATTGTCCTTAACAGCAGGGAGTGGATCCTAAATGTGGTGGGACCAGACAGTATTCTGGCAACTGACCGCCTTCAGGGAGGTAACTTGACAATCATTTACCATTAGCTGCAAGCAGTGTCCTAAGTCTAACATATATTTCAGGGGGAGACGCCTTGGGAGAAATCTTTCTGTTTCCCACAAATTGCTACATCACAGTCATGCTCATCCCCGCTCCTGCATGCAGAAGAAAGAAGATGACCCCACTGATGTGTGGGCTCCATGAGAGCAGGAAGAGGCTATTGATCACTCAGTTCCCTTCGTGGAGTTCACCCGGCAAAATAGCCTCACCTGCCTCCTGTGCCAAGGGACTGGCTACATCCCAACAGAACAAGTCAAGAAGCTGGTGACTTAATTCCACACAGGAATCAGAGATCGTGTGCTCTGAGAACTCAACAGCATGGCCTGTCGATCTTGCTCTGTCTGCTGGCCTCAGGGTTGCCCGTTTTCTTCCTGTTTCCCCTTTCAGTCCTTGTGGGTGAGGATGGCATCAAAGTGGTGACAGTCTTAATAAAAAGGACTCCCTTGTCATGCTCGCCATCACAGCCACTTTGAAAATCAGCAACTCCAACTTCTACTCCGTGGCTGTAACCAGCCTGCCCAGCCAAGTTCAGTCCATGACCACAATGGTTAGTACCTACAAGACAACTGATGTCATCCTCATTCCGCCTTGCACCGAGCCACTGGTGAATTTTACTGTGACGTCTGGGATGTGTCCTTATGTATACATCTGCACACACTGGACATCCAGGCACCCAACATCGTGGTCTTTATGCAAACCTCTGTGCAGATCTCGTGCATTGGCCATGTGGCCCAGAGCTCCTGGGGGACACATCACTCCGGTGACTGTGGAGCAAATGCCACAGCCCTGTAGAAGCTGCTCTTGGCTCTTAGCTGGCAGCACCTTTCAGGAGAGCACAGTGTGGGGTCCTAGGTTCCCTGGGTCCTTACCCACTCTAAATAGTGTGAGCAGAGCAGAAGCTTGTTCTAACACACACACACACACA